TCTGTGGTCCGAGCCCTTATCTGCAATAGCCAGGCCTTAATGGGTGCTCACACATAAACAACCCACCGACCCTGCCAAATTACATTGCTTTAAACCAATTCCACTTTAACACTTAAACAGTACGCTTTTGCTTAATCAAAATTTGCACAATAATCAGAATGAATCAGTTTGCTTTTCCTTTAAGGCTCCCAGTCTTTAATAAGTTTAGTGGAGTGTCTGATAACAAAGGGTGAAAATATATTTGTTTGGGGACCACAGCCCAAAAGACAACTGTCCCAAGGATTCCTATGAATACACACAGTGATGAGGGAGGCTTGATTTAAAAGCACTGAGGCTTAGCATTATATTCTCTAGCTCCAGGTCCTTGTAAATGACAAGATTTCATTCTGTTGATGCAAAAGAAGCCAGTCCGAGAAAGACAAATACCAAATGATTTCACTCATATGTGGAATTTACAAAACAAATAAGCAAAGGGAAAAAAGTGAGAGAGAGAGAGAGAATCAAGAAACAGATGCTTAATTATAGAGAACAAACTGATGGTTACCAGAGGGGAGGTGGGGGGGTGGACTGGTGAAATAGGTGATGGGGACATAGGAGGGCATTTGTCACGATGAGCTCTGCGTGATGTATGGAAGTGCTCAATCACTACACTGTACACCTGAAATGAATATAACACTGTATGTTAACTAATTGGAATTAAAATAAAAACTTTTTTAAAAATTGAAAAAATAAAAGCACATGAGGCTGTGAATTTGATCAGTCACCCCTGGAGAGAACATACTTAAAATACTTTAGTCAACATCATCCTCTCTTCCTTCCTTTTGAAAACCCCACACCATTTTACATGGGCCTTTTTTACTGCATTCTAGCTCATATCAAATACACTACATTCTAACTTATGTTGAGTTATTTAGGTATATGGACCATCTCCCTTCAAAACTGTGAAGGTACTTGAGGTCAGAATCTGCATGTGATTCACCTCTTCTTCACCTACAGTATAAAAAGGGCATAAAAACAACATAATAAACACTCATCAGTAGTTGAGTAAGCTCAAAAAAAAAAAAAATGTTAACAAGTCTCTTAATGTACAAAAGTCCCTGGGAAAATTCCTGAAAGGTAAAAATGATTTTGAGGTACTAAATTAAAAACATTTTTAAATGTTATATTTTTTAAATGCAAAGGATTATACAATGCATAATTTTTTTTTAAATCTTATATTAAATGCTACAGGGATGTAAAAGAGAGAACATAATCAGGAAACCAAGCCAGGATAGAGATTCGTAGTCCGAGTGATGATAAACTGCCTCCCTTCCCCAAACATAAACACACACACAAAGTAAGCTGAAGAACACTGATTTAAAAAAATATATATTTCTACTCAAATATGAAAATGTGGGAAATCCAAGGCTTTTATTAAAAAAATTAAAGAGCTTGTTTGTGAGTTTTGTGTGTTGACATGGTTGCAGTACCAGCCATATTCTTTAAAACCAGGCTCCTCTTTTTTTATTATTTATTTATTTTTGCCTTTTCAAGGTTTTTTTTTTGGTATAAAAAAAGAAAAGCATAATTGCCACAAATTACAAAAGACTAATACAAGCTCATTCAGGTATTTTACTTTTTTTTTTGTCCTTTTAAATGTCTTCTTTTTTTTAAGATTTTATTTATTTGAGAGAGAGAGAGAAAGAGCACAAATGGGGGGCAGGGGGTGAGGGTGAGCAGCAGAGGGAGAAGGAGAAGCAGACTGCCTGCTAAGCATGGAGCTTGATGCCCGGGCTCAATTCCAGGACCCCGGGACCATGACCTGAGCCACCCAGGCGCCCCTAGAACCAAACTCTTTACCAAGGGGGCTACGCAGTATAGAAATCTCAGCCAGCTTCTTCCCAATCTACGTAGAGTAAGAAACTCAAGAGAATTCAAGGTAATAAAAAGCCTCTCTATTCCTTCAAGAGTTTCTATACTATAGCTACCAGCAACTACACCTAAATCAACAAGTACACAAACATTTTGTGGGTGGGGAGAGGAGGATCTCCTTTGCCTGTATTATTTAAAGAACCATGAAATAAAAGATGACTCAAGACATACCATAAATAGTAAAAGAACACTGTCATGAATGCAATGCCAAATTACTGAGGTTTGAAATGTGTAAGTGTTATGGATTAAATTATATCCTCAAAAAAAGATATACTGAAGCTCCCTAATCTCAGAATATGACATAGGTTCTTTGGAAATAGGGCCTTTAACAGAGGTAACTGCATTGAAATGAAGTCATGCAGGTGGGCCCTGATCCAGTATGACTCGTGTCCTTCTGAAAAGGGGACATTTGGATACAGACACACACAGGGAGAACACCATGGGAACAGGAAGGCAGAGACTGAAGTGCCGCGTTCAGAGGCCAGAAGTGCCGAAGACTGCCAGCTCACCGCAGAGGCTAGGAGAGAAGCAGGGAACAGATTCTCTCCCCTACAGAACCAACCGTCAGAAGGACCCAACTCTGCCAACACCTTCTTAGACTTCCAGCTTCCAGAACTGCGAGAAGATAAATTTTGGTTGTTAAGCCACCCAGTCTGTGGTACTTGGTTTTGGCAGCCCCAGCAAACTAATACAGTGAGGTTAGTGGCAAAATCCCAATTTGCCCCATGTGATTCAAGATGTATTTGTAAAATGCTCACAAACTAGAAATTAGTGAGATCTCTACAAATACCAGGCAACTTTACCACAATATAATGATAGCTGCTCTTGGAGAAGATGCTAAAGATAATGTTTAAAGATGGGAGGCAGGGATGCCAACATGTATGGGAGAGTGGTGAGGAGTCCTGGGATGGGGGGCTATTTAAATTACAGCACTTCAGGGGACACATCAAACAAACTCAGCTCTCAAGCCTTGCTAGACGGCATGTAACTGTTGTGCTCTGGCCTGACCTTGCCACCCTAAAGCAAGCAAGCACAGGCAACCTGTCCTCTCTTAAAGCAGGTGAGTGGTCAATGGCTTTCATATCCAGCTGGAGGAAATTAAATGCTACGTGTGACCAGCAGGCTTGAAACTGCTTGAGAAATGCTGACAAGATACATTTAGGCCTGCTGGAGTGAAGAGTATTAACTGTCCGGAACTGCCCTTCTCAAAGATTGCAGACACTTAAAAGGCAGCCTTTCTTTTATTCGAGCATAATAAATGGAGGATTTTTCAACTATCTCCAAGATTTTGATATAAATCACAAAGTTAAACATTTAATAGAGTTATTAACTTACATTTGGAAATCAGCTGAGCCCATCTTTTTTGGGAAGGCACTTAAAAGTAACTGGTGTATTTCCTTATAATGAAATAATATGTTTGCTTCTGTTTGATTCATGATTACAACAAGCCAGAGCATATGTGAGAACCATCTGGAATATTCAACAAGGACCAAGGTTTTCCGAGGAAGGCCTTATACTGTGCAAGCAGTATTGTATAATGGTTAGGAAAAGAATGGCTGCAAACCAGAGAGACGTGAGCCAAAAACAAGCTTTGCCACTAACCAACTGTGTGGACTTGGACAAGTGGTGAAAACTCTCCAAGCACAGGACTCCTAGTCAAACGGAGGTGATAATTATAGGAACTATCTTTGTAGGGCATCATGAGAAATGATGAGACAATGGATATACCATACATTATGCAAAACAATTGCTTAATCCAGTGTAGTGACCCTCATGTTATAAACATTAAATGTACAATTAATTTTTATATACTAGAGAAATAACTATTTTTCTTTAGGAAAGAATATAAAGTTTCACACACAACCTCTATTTAAAACTGCTCAACAATATTCTGTAATGTTCAGGCACTCTAGATAAGTCATTAACAGCCCTCTAGATTTGACTTGATTTTTTATTCCCATCATGTTTCTTTTTCATACAAATTTTTTAAAACACATTTTTTTTGGTAAATATTTAAAATCTCAAAATTAGTACTATTATTTGTTACTTATATTATTCCTGCATCCTTACTTACATATCTTCCTTTGTCAGAAATATTTCTTCATCTTCTTAAAAAACATAAGCAAAGGAAAAACTACATTCCAGAAAAGCCAAAGATTACCTAAATGGTCAAAATTTCCAATTATGTGTTTAGAAAGTTCCTTCAGAGAATTTTCCACTACATGATTTTATAAAGTAATTAATTAGGTTAGAATTTCCTATCTTCCATAATGACTTAAAAGAGAGACAAAAACAGGGAATGGTTCAGAAAATTATTTTTCAACATTATTTGGTAATGTTATTTAAGGTAAAGATTTGTATTTCCTACAGTTATTTGAGAAATAGCATTATATTTCTACATGCCACCGAATACAGTAACTCTGCACTCTTAATCAATAAGAGAGGGAGGAGGCCTATCAGAAACATATGGGGTAAGCTTTTCAAGAATCCAAACTTGTGCCTGACCCCAGGATAGCATTGGGCAGGGGGGTGCGGGGGGGGGTGTGTGGAGAATAACAACAGGAGGGAAGGTTGTTTCTCCACGTGAAAATATATGTAGTATGGTGTCAAAGTACACAGGTAGGAAAAAAGAAAAAGTCTGCATTTTTTTTTAATTTAGTGATTTCTTTAGATGGAGTAAAAGCTCAATTTAAAAAGACGCAAGAATAGCCAATATATTTGACTTTGTCAAATCAGTACTCTTATTCTTAAGCAAACACTAAAACTCCAGAAAAAATCAATCATATCATTCACCTGGAAACGAATTCTCATTTGAGGGTTCCAGCCCCAATGTTGGGGGTGGGGGGGCAGGGGTAGGACAGAAAAGATAAATTGGACAAGTCTGCAAAATTGTTTGCTAGCAGGGAAAACCAATTCTGCTGACTTTCACACTTCTTAAAACAACAATAAGAACAAAAACTGAGAGGGAAAATCTACTGTATATTAAAGGAGAATTATTTAAATAAATTAATATTATTAATTGTTAATAATCAGTATTAAGAGAGCAGGTACATTTTAAATGTGAAATATTAAAAACCGAATGAACTTACTTGCTTTTCCCTTTGTATACTGTAGCATAAGAGCCTTCCCCTAGTTTTTCCAGTTTTTCGTATGAGTCAGCTTTTCCAAATTTGGGACTTGTTGGCTAAAAATGGAGCAGAGGGTAAACAAAACAGATTGTATCAAACTAATTACAATGAATAGGCCAATTTTGCTAAAAATGTATAAATTCTGTCACTTTTTTAAATAGCTTTTTTCTGATATAAGAATATTTATTCTAAAAAACAACATGATAACTATTCAGGATACAAAACTCAGAAAATGTAAATAAAAACAGTGTAGAAAGTTTAAATTTACCCATAATCTGTCTACCAAGAAAGAACCACCATTAATATTTTGGTATCTCTTCTTCCAGTGCTATCTATATGCTGATGCCTGCTTTTTTACATAAATAGGATTACACTAAACATACTGATTTTAATCTGCTTTTTTCCCCCACTCAACATATTATGAATATTTTCCATGTTATTATATAATCTTCTTTTTTTTTTTATTATTATTATATAATCTTCTAAATTAGGGCCTGGCTAGTCCAAACTAACACCTGTTCATCCCACAAACTTAGAAAAGTTTCCACTTCTTTTTTTTTTTAATGGGGTGGGTGGTCAAAAGAAGAATAAAATTTAATAGCACAGTAAGATTATATATGAGAATCAAATTTTAGTGTCCACAAAGTTTATTAGAAAATAGTCATGCATGTTCATTTCCATATTGTCTTACGACTTGAAAGCTACAACAGAGGTGTAGCTGCAGCAGAGATGATACAGCCAACAAAACTGAAAATATTTACCCTCTGACCCCTGTTGTAAATCATGACTGTATAATATTCAGCCAGATAAAGGTACTCCTCCAATACCTCTTAGCAATAATGCAAACAAATAATCAAAGATGCATCACTCAGATATTACTCATTAATACAAAAGGAACTGTCTTATGTATTATAAACCGACCCTTAAGTTTAGCTGCAGCAAAATAACTCTTCCTAAAGACATGGCACATCCCATCAAGATGATAAAAGTACTGAAAGTGAGCAATCTCATCACTCTTGCTGTCCCCAGCCCGCCTCAACTTTCACCAGACAAGACAGGGGGAGTGCTGTCCTCCATGGGGCAAGTTACCTATTATTATTATTTTTTTATTATTCATTTGAGACACAGAGATACAGAGAGAGAAAGCATGCATGAGCAGGGAGAGAGGCAGAGGGAGAGGGAGAAGCAGGCTCCTCGCTGAGTCAGGAGCCCGATGTGGGGCTCGATCCCGGGACCCTGGGATCATGACCTGAGCAGAAGGCAGACACTTAACCATCTGAGCCACCCAGGCGCCCCCAAGTTACCTATTATTTTAATGTCACTATAAAAGGGTAATATCAAAGCATATCAGAAAATGATAATTATATGAGGAATTAAAAGCATCTTAATGGAATTATCCAATCTCAGTTATAAATACATAAATAATCGATAAAAAGTTACTGGTGATTGTGTTACTGGATAATTAATGATTTTCAGAAGCTCAGGAAAAGACCTTCTTGCAGAAAGTTTATAGAACACTATCCTTGAGAATGTGCTCTTATACCACTTATGAGAAACATAACATACTGGCAATGGATCTGACTCCCACCATTTATAAAGATCCTGTGTGGCAAGTTGAACACATGCTTCTTACCTCCTTCCCGCCCAAAATACCACACAGTGACTGAGAAGATATTTTTCAAAAATAATAAAGCAGAAACAGGAATGGGAAACAAGAAAGAGTGCCAATATTTAATCAGAAATTTTGAGAAATTCTGAAAGAGAGACAGTAATAAGAATCAAAACTTCAGAGAAAAGACTGGGGCAACCTAAAGCCCCAACCTGGAGAAGAAGACTATTACAAATAAAAGAAGCAGGAGTCTCCAGGAAAATGTGAAACTAATCAATACAGCTGAGCACAGGGTGCGCTCCCAAGCAAACTGCAGGAACATCTGCACAGAGGAGACAGCTGAGACTGTGGGTATTCAGGCCAGAGGGGCAGAGCAAGGACGGAAGCAGCCACTGCCTAGAAAAAGGATGACAATCCCCCCCATGCCCAAGCTGTAATCCTTGCCTCTCTCATAAGATCACTACAGATGATTTACAGAAAACTAAATAAGCTGACAGTAATTCTCAAATACAAAAATGAGTATATAATAAAAAATCACAAATCATTTCAGGAAAATCAACACCTGGAAAAAAAAGGCATAATATTTAATGGGCAGATAAACCAAAACCGTGGTTAGAGAGTTGACATTGCCAAGAATAACTTTGAATAAAAATAACCAGTATGTTCAGAGAGATTTCAGAAGATACTACATCCTTCAAGAAGAAACAATTAGAGATTTAGAGATTAAATATTTAATCAATGAAATAAAATATTCAATGGGCAGGGAATAAAAGAATGGACACATATGAAAAGTAAAAAGCTCAATGTTTGAACAGAATTCCCCTAGAAAACTTTAGGAAGAGGTTGCACCTAAATAGAAAAAATATCCAATCAGCATAATATCCTCACAGACAACAATGACTGCAAAAAGACAATTAAGCAACATTTTCAAAATAAATAGCGAAAATGATTCTGAATCACTAATACCATACCCAAAATAGTCCTGTCAGTAGGATGGAAAAGATGTAATGTTGCCACCTACAGAAAAAAAAATCTAGATACAGAATTCTGTATTATCTTGATATAAGATGTACTTGGAGTGATGGGGGAAGCACAGAAAGGCAAGGAACACTAGGAAAAAAGAAGCAACAGCAGGCTGAGATTTCTTCAATTGATCAGGACAGACTGCAGAAACTGAGTAACTCCAAATGCATATGTTTTAGTATGTTTCTTAACTCTTCAAAGGTCATCACAAAATAACATGAACTGGATACACAAATCCCAAACAAATTAGAGAGATAAGAATAGAAGAACACAATGTAATGAGGAGAGGGATGAAAATAAAAAGTGAAAGGTCAGAGGAGGGGGGGTGCTCAAGAAGAAAACACGTCAAGTAAAAGTTCATAAAATAAGAACTTAAGTTTAAACATATCGATCATGTAAAACATATCAATCAATCGTATTGATTGTAATAAAAATAAATGAACAAACTTCCTTTATTAATATAAACTTCTCAGATTGAAAAAACAAAGAAAGTCTAGCAATATGCTATTCCTAAGAGACAAAATTAAAATGAGTAAATCTGAAAATAAAGGAGTAAAGGGAAAATACAGCAAAAAAAGGAATTTTACAAAATAATGCATTATCACAATATTGATGGCAAACAAGATAGAATTCATAAAACAACAAACAGATTAAATTAGTATATCCCATAAAAATGAACATTAATATCCACAAAGAAATTTAATAATTTTAAATTTTTAAAATTAAATTTAAATTTAAATTTAATAATTAACATAGTTTTGAAATGTATGTATTTTACTGCTGGTAGCAATAAAATAAGAAATTGTCAAATTCACGGTGATAATGGGCAACAAACATACATCACTCAGACATCAAAAGAGCAGACAAGGAAGAAGTAAGGGATTTATGAACTTGAATATGAGAATTACCATTTTAATCTAATACACATGTTAATATATATTCTTTTCAAGCATACATTTAACATTCACCAAAAAAAATGACCACTTTCAATATTTAAAACTGCAGAAACACCTTAAGTTACTTTTTCTGAACATAATGCAGTAAAATTAGCAATTAAGAACAAAAGGAAACCTTAAATAGTTTAGCTGTGTGAGTGAGAAAGAAAATCAAAATTGAAAATTCATAAATAAATATGTGGCATTGAGGACATGACATTTTAAGACCCAGGGGATACAGCCAAATCAATACATAACAAGAAAATGTAAATACATATGCACACACTAGAAAAGAAGAAAGGTCAAAAGTAATACGAATTAGACATACTAAGAAGGGATTAATAAAAACAATGGACCACATATTCTTTTCTTCAAGAAACTTGTAAGGTACAAACCATGTGTTGAGTTGAATCAAGTAAAACTTAATGGAAAATTACATTCAAAATCGCCTGACTAGTCTTGTGTGGGTTATGTTCTCATGCATTTTTCATCACCGGGAAACAGCTTGCGAATGTCACACTTTACCATCACCCTCCTGAGCCCAAGTTTTAAATAGAAATTTTAAAACCTATATTAAACTTCAGTATAAAATGATCTTCAATGGGGAAAATATTGTGTTCACAGTTCCACTCTAAATTATTTAAAATTAGAATGAGAAGTCTGTGTTTGCTTTTGTGCTCCTTTAAGAATAAATCTATGTTCAAGAAAAAAAGCAGCAGCAGAAAATTGCCCCTTTACTCCTATTAGGAGATAAACTGCTAATGCGTATTTATAGCAAGTACAAGACATAGTCACACAAAACTGGTAGAAGAGGACGCCAGTATTTTTTCCTCCTGAAAAGGCACAAATAATTTTCTAAAATATTTCACTCTTTATCAACTGCCTTATATATCAGAGTTGATATAATCGTTTTAAGATACAGACCACACTAAATGTACTACTTGAAGAAACAGAACTGAAGAAATCAGAAAAACAAGAATATGCTTTAAAAAAAAAAACACTTATTCACAAGAAAAATCAAGTAAAAGAAGATGCTAATGGCACAAAGTACTCTATCTAATTAAATGGATTTGGATGCACTAACTACCATGGTTCATATACACCGTATTAATATTGTGATGGCAGAAAATTAATATTTTGCCACATTTGATGCTAAGACAATGTTATTTTCCCTGTGAAACTGATATGTATACATTGTAGAAATACACTGTAATCTACAGATCAATCATGCTAGCTTCATAGCTCCATACACACATAATGTCTCTCTAAAAAATTTTATCTAAAAAAGAATGGGCCTATGGAATAGGGCATGTCTTAAGATAGTCTGAGCTTTAGGAGTCAGATTCTTATGAAGTGAGTCCCCCTATTTTAAGTAATTAGAAATGTTCTGATCTGTAATTACTATGCATATGAATAAGGAATCCAACTGCTAAGTCATTAAAGAGGCCAATAATAAAATCCTTCCCATCAAACGGATGAAATTAAGAAT